TGTGATTCTTTAAAAGAGTCTCCTTGTTCTTAGGAAATACGCACTGAAGAACTGAAGACTAAAAGGACATGATGCTTGCAACTTTCGAATGATTTAGAAAAAATACATGTATGTGCACGGTGCACGGTCGTGTGTGTGTGCACTGGGAGTGACGGTGCAGGGGGATGAGAGAAGGAATGAGAAAGCAAACAGGACACAATACTAACTAGTAAATCTGAGTAAAGGGAATACAGTGACGTTCTTTGTAATATACTTGGAATTATCCTACAAGCCTGGAATTATTTCCAAATACATAAATGACCAAATTCTATATAAGGTCCCTTTTCTGGAAATATTATGATTTGAAGAAGGGTGATTGCTGTAGTTTCCTTTATAAACTTATGAACAACAGAAGTGCTGAGCATGTGGGTGTGAGGCAAGGAGCTCCCGTGAGGGCACGCTATTGAACGAGACGCTGAACAAACAGGAGGTGAACTTCATTGTCTCCTTCACAAGGTGTGTAACTAGAAAGTCTAGTTCTGAGATACTCATCTGCAGTGGTGGCTCAAGGGAGTGGTCCCAGCTTCAGTGGAGCCACTCTCACATTGCACAAGCCCCTCCTTTCCTCTGTTGGTCGGGCGAAGGGCACTGCACCATCTCACGAGGGCATGGCGCCATAGCACAATTGGACCCATTCCCTCCCCTTGACTTGTGTCCTTATTCGTGTTTCCCTCTGATGCGTGTCTGCTAAGAGCACTGCTGTATGCTTTCAGCTTTGTCTTGTCTCTCTTAAAACTGTCCTCTTTCTGATAACCGTTCCAAGTATTTATACGGTCACATCATCCACAGAATTCCTTTCCACATGAGGTTTCCCAGGGTACCATTTTTCTATGCTAGTGGGGGCCAGATCACCCAAAGCTGAAGGGTGAAGTCCAGTGAGCCAATGGTGGGGAATATAAAGTTACCACGGTGTGTGGACCCTTGGAGGCCAGGATGCTACTTATTTGAATGTTATTCACAGTTGGAAAAATTTTTTTGAACATCCAAAAGACAGGTCGCATAATATAATAGTCTTCACATATAGAGATGAGGTGGATGACACAAAAATCTCTTCTACTGTCATTGTGACCTCCTCCTGTGCAGTAGGAACTATGTCTCACTCATCCATGTGTTCCTCACAATGTCTAGCTGTGATGAGTTCCAAAACTGGAGAAGTGCAGTGAGCCAGCACCACCACCTGTAAACTTCCATTGAGACAGAGCGTTCCTTTCCTTCAGCTGGACCAGCCTGGACTAAATTGTTACCTGTTCTTGTTGTTTATGGAGGAAATTGTCAAGAGTCAGGGGAGTTGTTTACCTGAACTTAGGAAGGTCTTTCTAGCCTAATGATTCCCTGGAAGTGTCTGTATACTGTTCAAATAGATAGACGCATCCAATAATTCAAAAGTTTAGAAGTCATTATTTCAAAACAACAGTTGGGAATAAGTGCAAAAAACATAAGCCTGAGATTTAAATGCCTCTGAATAAAAATGCAAACAAATGAGGGAAGTAGGCAGTTAGGTTAAAGTAATTTGACCAAGGCCAATTGGAATTCCTGCCTAATGTTGAGAGGAACAGTATTTAAAAAAAAACAAAACAATGTAATTACCACTTGCGGATGCTGATTGAGTGAAAATTGGGTAAATAAGATTCCTGAAAACAGGAGAAGAGAAGGCACAGCTGTACTAATACAAAGAGAAAGTCAACAGACAACAGCAAATATGCTTGAGGCTAGGGGAAATGAAGGGAAAGTAAGAGAAAGGGAAAGGCATGAGGAACGTATAAGCTCTAGTTCTTTACCTCAAAGTTTCCAGATAAATTTCAGAGGGGTCAGCTTTCTCCCCACTCTGCCCTTCATCTTACCACGAACGGTGCACTGAAAGCAGTTGGGAGGCACAGAGCAACCGGATGGCCAGCTGCCTCCCATGGCACCACCAAAACGTCTGAATCTTGAAATAGGTCTATCATCTGCACATTGTTTGGTCCGTAGTAAATTCCCCCCAAAAAACTGAACTAATAAAATATCCTTCAAAAATGAATCTACAGTTACACATTTGAGACAGATGGTTGGAGTCAGATTAACAAGAAGGAACTGACTTTTCCTCTTTGGCACCACAGGATGATTGTGTAACATGTTCAAGCTGATGGGAACACTGTTTAAGTTAGAGTAACACTGCAACTGATTCTTTCAAAACCCATCAAGAACTAATCTCCCAAGCTTCCCATAGCTTGGTGAAGTTTTCCTCAACCTTCCTGTGAGGACTGGTCAACGTCAGTGCAGAAAAATTTTTACCAGCAAAACGGTTTTTACAGTCAAGTCTGTTAATACTGGTTTATTTGCAATCCAACTCCCTGAAGACAGCAAACCGGGATATTGGCTGCCCTCTGCAGTGGGCTGGTGAAGTCAGCGAAGTATCAAGGTCAAGAAAATGCCAAATGCTTGCAACTAATTCTCCTTGAAATGCAGAAATGCTGGCAAGAGAATGACTTCTTAAATCTAGGATTTTTAAAGATGAGGGTATGTGGGAAAGTAACACACCACCTCCACAATCCCTCAACCCCAACACTACGTTTGGTTGTTTTCTGGGCAAGAGTAAGCTTGCTTGTTGATTTAAGACATCATGGAAATGTCTGAGGTTAATGTCCTTCATTGCTAAATCAAAATAAATCAAAAGCCAACCACAGCAGCAATACTTAGAAGCTTCTCAGAGAGTTCCCTGGACTGAGAGCTTCCATGGTGTATGCTTTTAAAATATGCCCACAAATTCTTTGAGACTCCTCCTGTGGATAAATGGAGTCTAATTTTCCTTCCCTCAAATATGAGCTGGGCTTAGTCACCTGGATCCCATGAAGGACAAGAGGTCAGACATGGTGTGATGTGACTGCCACAGGTGGGTTATTGAAGGAGACACAATGTCTGCCTCGCTCTCTTATGAGCTGCTCACCCTTGAAATCCAGCTGCCATGCTACGGGGCCAGCGGAGGGTACTCCAGCTGACAGGCCCAGCTGAGGTCCCACCTACAATCAGCATCAACCAGTTGATCTTACGTGTGTTACTTCAACCACATGAAGCAAGGAAGTCTTCTAGAAAAGTCCAAATCTGGCCACATATGACTGTAACCACATGAAGAAACTCTAAATGAAAACCACCTAGCTGAGGTGGGTCAGCTCCCAAAACCATAAATCATAATAATAATCAATAAGAGTTGTTGTTTTAAGAGAGAGGTCTGCAAACTGAGACCTGGTGGTGAAATCTGGCCTGCAACCCGTTTTTCTACAGCCTGTGAGCTCATCTGGGTTTGGTACATTTCTAAAGGGGTGTAAAAGAAACAACACAAAGCAAAGAATAATATGTGACAGAGGCCATATGTAGCCCTTAAAGCCTAAAATAGTTATTCTATGGCCTTTTACAAAAAACGCTTGTGCAACACTGTCTTAGCCACAACATTTTTCAGATGGTTTATTATGTAGCAACAGATAACTGGAATGCATGGTATCTTTGGAATATAATAAGAGGAATCGATGGACTAATGCTGGATTTATAGCATCATAAAAGTCACACTGAAAAGCCATAAGTCAACAGTTACCTGAAATTCAATACGTGTCCTATCAATAATTGCTATCATACAATATGATAATTTCACAAACATACTTGCTTGACCAAAGCAAAAGTGAGGATAATGTGATTCTTCAACCAAGGAGAGTATTTTAAAGATGTATCTCACATTTGATTCTAGATGAAACTTCAAATTCTTGGAGTCTTATTAATAACTTTGGCAAGCACAGCTGGCATTTGCTGAGTACTTACTATGCTTCAGACATTATTCTGAACTATTTTATATGTATTATTTCATTTAAGCCTTGTGACAGCACTTATATTTTACAGATGAGAAAACTAAGGCACAGGGATATATCTAACATGTCCAAGATTACACAGGTAGTAAGTGTGGAGCCAGAATTTGAATCCATGCCTGACTTGCATTCATGAACTTAACCACCACACTCTGCTGCTCCTCTCCAGAAAATGTCTAAGTAAGATATTGGTCCAGGTTTAAAGATGTAGCTGCTTCCATCCCTTGACCTCACTGACCAGACTTCTCTGGGGTCTAGTCAAGGATGCTGTCCCCCCACTAGGAACCAGGGTCTCCATCTCTTTCCCCTGAAACCCAGGATCTTCGATGACACTACTTTGCTGCTGAGAGGATCTGAAACTCCTAGACCAGCCCCAAACTATGGTTGGTTATAAGTTCTTTCTTCCAAATCATCAAAGACTTCCTCACATTTCTCCTCTGGTTCCTGTCAATTGACACATGGAAAATTATGCTTGTCAAAGGGATGAGTGCCAGGGGAGACACAGTATACGTTCTTCAATCCCTGACCTTGACTAAATAAAATCTACAGGCTGATCAAGAGCCGATCAATATTAAAAAGATATCCAGACCATTGTTAGGACCAGTGATCATGGAGAATGAAATCAGTATCACTTTCCTCATCTGTGAAGTAGGACTTGTAATACCTGTCTTTATGATTTGTTGTATAGACTAGAGCCAAATTATACAAAGGGCCTAATCCAGTATCTGGCATTCAATTAATGGTGACCATAATTGCTGTTATTTTTAACATAGAACATGTCTCTCTTTCAAAGAGCTGAGGACTGGTCAATGACTTTCCACTGAATAACTGGAGAAGCTGTTAATCACAAATATCCATATTCACAAAACAAGACATAGAGTAAGCCCTGCTGCTTACCCATTGGGTTACACATTTCCCACCTCCCTGTGTAATAAGCCTTTTCTGCATTGAAAGGTGTTGTTTTAATTATTTATAAAAATGGCTTTGTCACACTATTTTCTCCAACTGAACTTGGCACAAACAACTGGGCATCAGTGTAAGAAAGAGAAGGCAACGCTCTGACTTCAGCGAAGTGCCAAGGCGACCGCAGCACCATGACTGAAGGCATGGCACAGCGCCTCGTCTACTCACCAGAAGGGAAAGACAATGAGCCGGCTGATGAAAAATATGGCAGAGAAGATGAAAAACAGGATATTACAGGTTTGCTTCCATCCAGCATAAGAAAACATCTTGGCAGACTAAAAACAAAGAAAGCAATTGCATTCAGATAAAGTGAGTTAGTATAAAATTATTAAATTAAATATTCACAACTGAAATGATATGATGTCTGGGCTTTGCGTGTGAGGTGCAGGATAGGGATGGGTAGGGAAATAGATGAAACAAGACTGGCCATACTGAAAACTCTTAAAGCTGGATGGGTAGTGGGTCCATTGAGTCTATTATGCTCTTCTCTTCATCTTATGTTTGAGATTTTCCATAATAGAATGTTTGAAAAAAGACATGTTACAACAACTGTAACATTACTTCTGTCTTTTACAAGCAGACAAGGTAGGACAATTAATTTTAGCATGCATTTTATTCAGGCATTTATCTAATTTCTCCACTGAGCTGATTGGAGAGCTAGACTGAAACAAGGCTGAGATCCGAGTGAAGTCCTGGGCTGGGCTGGGCATGTTGCAATAGAGACAGCTGCTTTAAGGCAGATGTGTGGAAGGGGGAGAGTTAGGAGGCCACTCTCAGATCTCTGTCCAGGCTGAAAAAAGTTTCAAGCACTTGATTTTCCCCATTTACTCTATGCTAACCTAGACTTCTCGCATTAACTGTGTTGAATAAAAGGAATTACAGCAAGTGTTGTGTAGGGTGGTATTAGAAGCTTAATTGATGAAGATTCCCTCGTGCATCATCAGTAGAGCCCAAGGTGAAGGGGAAAGTGTCTGGACTTGGGTGGCAGTTGGATAGGAGCTGCTGAGTGTACCCATCCCTCTAGAAGCATGGCTCAAGCCTGGGTGGTTTCAGAACTGAAATTGCTCTTTCTAGGGCAAGCTTAAGGCCACTCTAAAACAAGAGAGGCAGCATAATTACACTTCAGGAAGGGTTTACATTGCATTTTCCATACTTCGCCATATTTACCATGGAATAAGGATAGAATCATATTGTGGAGTGGCAGGGGTCTAGAAGGGAGCAGCTTCAAATGCTGAGACAGAAGGCTAGTCTTCCAAGTGGTACAAAATGGATATGGGGAGACAGGCCACAGGTTCAGCGTGCCTGGAATAGAGTGCCAGTTATTTGAAGAGTCAGAAACCAGGCTAGGTGTGTGTAGACATGAAAAGAGTGTACTTGTGAGAGCAAAGTAGCATTCCTTTGGGTAAATACACACAGAGCATATTTTGGACTCTGTAGGGATGGATATCAGATAGTCATCCCACTCCTTTGCTAAGCATCAGTCCAGATACTGTTAAAGTGTGGGGTCCTGGATCCAAACTTGAACCTGTGGGAAACTAGAGGTCAGGAAGATGCATGAAGAAGATGAAGGCACTTTCTGAGTAAGGGTGATCATAGATATTGGGGCTGTTTTCCCTTGCAAAGAAAAAGCTAAAAAAATGACTCACCAACTGTCTTGAGGAATACGAAAAGATTAATAGGCACCATCTTTAGGGGGGGTCTAAACAGGGGCAAAAGTTGTACCACATCTGGGTTCAATTAGGATTTGCCCAAGAAGACAAACACTAAAACCAACAACTCAAGGAAGCTGTGGAATAGACACCCCTGGGGAAGATAAAAAATGGGCCCCATTCCACTACTTCATGCTGCCTCTTCCCAGCTGGTGGAAGGTACTGGCCTTGCTCATTGAACCTCAAGTTAGGTCATGGCTTGTGAATCAGAAATGATTCACGATCACTAACAACATGAAGCTGTTCTCATAGTTTATTCACAAAGGGACCTCTGAGTTTGACATTTCATTTTTCTTCTTCTTTTTTTTTTTCATCTAAGAACCCCAGAACATTTTCAAACAGTAATGAGCTAAACTTCACAATATACCCTAAGGGGTAGATATGACTTCTCACATTACAGCTGAGGACAGAAAACAAAGCGTTAAGTGATTTGCCCAAACCACCCAGGGAGTTCTATTGTGTCAGTGGCAAGGTGGGGGAGGGTGGACAGGGACAACCCAGTGTTTATTCCCAACAGCAAACTCTCTTTTAACAACATAGTGAGGCTGTTTTGCAGTGGACATACACCAAAGGCTAGAGGGTTTAGAAGCAACAGTGTAGCATAAAATTCTTAAGTCATGGCCAATATGGTTTTAATTTACAGGAAGGGTTACTGAGATATGATCAGAGAAGGAGGTAATTATAACAGAGATGGCTACATTCAGACAGCGACGCATGGGAAAACTGGCATAATCCTTCTTTTGCTAAGCCATTTGCTGCTCTGAATAATCTTGACCTTTAGAATGGGATTTATATGTCTAACTGCAATTGTATTGAAGTAACAAAATTCTGTACACATCTGATATTTTAACTGCTTTGATATGGCTTCAAATGACTTCTGGTTACATCTAGAAAGGGGTTTAGCAAACTACAGTCCAGCCAATGAGCTATGAAGCTTGTCACCCCTTAAGGATGGGTTTCACTTTTTAAAGGGGTATGAGAAAATAAAAAAACAAACAAAAAAGAATATTGGCAAGAGATCCTATGTTGCCCACATAGCTAGATTTACTATCTGGCCCTTCACCAAGAAGTTTGGTGAACGCTGATCTAGAAGAACAAGATCCTATCAAATTTAATTTCTTCCATATCAACCTATATTCAGGCGATCCTGAACATGAAATGGGTTAACATCATTTTCCTCAGCTTTATTATACGTGAAGGTATTTAAAGGACACACTAAGCGGTTCTGGGAAATGTGACCCTAAGTAGAGCAGGAGAGTTGGCTGGAAGAGGACTGTTGGATCACTGCCTCGGGACAAACAGGAACCAATACATAACAGAAACATGTAGAGAAAACAATCCTAATTTTGTTTTGTTTCTCATATCTTGTGTTGTTTGGGATTAGGAAGACTCTTGTTTTAATGTCCCCTGCTCCAAAACATTCTTTCCTTAGAAAAGAAATGTCATTTAAATAAACATCAGCTCTCATTCTTCAAAGCTGGAGGAGGATCATGTGGGGAAGTGCAAGCATCCAAAGGGTATTCAGCTTTGGCTTAAGGAAATATATGGTTTCATCCAATATTAAGAATCCATAATGCCACAAATCCAAGGTTTCCTTTCCAAAGATTAGAGTTCATTCCTTCTTCAGAGATATCAACATACTTCCTGAGCAGGTATCTGCGTGCAACTTTCCCAAGTGGGATCCCATGAGTTAACCTCTCTCAAGTACCATAGAGAAGGATGGAATCTAAAAACTGAAAGGTTTCCTTTCTTTAAGCCTGAAGGGTCTGAGGACCCAGAGACAACCTCAGACTTTGGATGTTTTCAGGACAAAGAGCCCTGCTATATAACTCACAGGCAATTCTTCCTGAGACGAGGCACAGAAACTTGGGACGTGGTATGGTTTTTATTTTTTTTAATGGCAAAAGTTTACCTCCAGCCAAATGTCAGCCACGTCATGCACGATCATCACGAGGGTCCCACCGCGGATATAATTAGCACACCAAGAGAAGCTCATCAAACTAATAGCAGCCAGGTGGTGGATGACATGAGCTAGAAAATCCTATATAACAAGAGGAAAATAGTGGCTATTAAGCAAATGCAGTTATTTCCTAATCACTATATACCTAAAAGTATATAGTGGAAGAGCTAATAACAACAACAACAACAACAATAGTAGTATTTTTTTAAAGTAACTTACATCTGAAAATTTTGAAATTTGTAAAATGCTTTCAGTTTAATTCTTAAACACGATCCTTGCAAGAGAACTAGCACATAATATCCTCATCATTGAAGTCACTGAACTCTGAGGCAGCATTGAAGAGTTGTCATCTAAATCCTAACATCTCCTAACATCTTTCCACTGCCCCACACTGGATATACATACACACCACTTCCCATATACATACACACATGAGTATATTCCTGCATATATTTACATTTATCATTTCTTCTCTGTCTGATTCCAACAACGGAAAAAGATAGATACACAATACAGTAAAACTAAATAACCACTAAAATAAGAGTTACTGCATAGGAAACAAGTAACAAATGAAAGTGTAATAAATACATTAGCAAATCTAGGCTAAAGAACACTACTACAATTGAACATAAAAACTTAAAAAGCTTTCTGTAAACAAAATATACAAATGGCCAACAAGTACACGAAGTTACTCAACTTCATGGGCTGTCAGGAGAACTTAAGTCAAAACTACTTCAGGGGTGCCTGGGTGGCTCAGTTGGTTGAGCGTCCTACTTCAGCTCAGGTTATGATCTCACAGTTTGTAGGTTCGAGCCCTACATCAGGCTCTGTGTTGACAGCTAGCTCAGAGTCTGGAGGCTGTCTTCAGATTCTGTGTCTCCCTCTCTCTCTGACCCTCTCCTGCTCAGGCTGTCTCTCTCTCTCAAAAATAAATAAACATTAAAAAAAATTAAAACAAAAAACCCCCCACTTCATCCCCACTAGGATGGCTATAATAAAAATGATGAAAAATAGTAAGTGTTGGCAAGGAGGTGGAAAAATTGGCATGCTTATATGTTTATGTACGCTTATATACGTAGGAAGGTAAAATGGTATGGCTACTTTGGCAGCTACTCAGAAGATTAAATATAAAATTATCATATAACCCAGCAATTCCACTCTTAGGTATATACCCAAGAGAAATAAAAATATGTCCATGCAAAAAACTGGTATATGAATGTTCATAGCAGCATTATTCCTAATAGCCAAAAAAAGAAAACATCCCAATAGCCATCAAATGATAAACAGATAAAGAAAATGCAGTATTATCTATATAATGGACTATTATTTAGCAATAAAAAGGAATGAAGTATGGATACATGCTTCAACATGAATGAACCTTGAAAACATTATGTAAAGTGAAAGTGCCAGACATAAAAAATGATTTATTATACAATTCAACTTGTATAAAATATACAGAAGAGGAAAATCCATAGAGACGGTTGCCTAGGGCTAGAGAAGTTAGGAGAAATAGGGAGTGACTGCAAAAAGGTACAAGATTTCTTTTGGGGAGTGACAAAAAATGTTGTAGTATTGACTGTGGTGATGATTAAACAGCTCTGTGGACATACTCAAATCCACCGAACTACATTCCTTAGATGAATGGATTGTACAGTGTGCAGATACCTCAATAAAGATGTTTTAAAAATCTTAAAGCTTTCAGTTTCCTTATAGCCAAAGTAAAGTAGTAAATATGATACTACTAATAATAGCCTAACTTACTGAGCACTTACTATATACCAAGAAGTGCTTTGTATGGGTGAATCTGCTTAATCCTCATAACAACCAGAGGAAACAGGAACTATTTTTAACTCCATTTTACAGATGAGGAAATGAAGATTAGGGGGTGTAGCCAGCTAGCTTGAGATGTTAGTGAGTGGTAAAGCCACGGATTCAAACCCAGGCATTCTGGTTCCAGAGTCTGTGCTTTACCCCCCTACTGATAGTTGTATGTCTTTTACATCTCTGAAGATATGTGTTTACAAAATATACGACATATATTTACATTTAATTTTTGAAAAGGTACCCAATACACTTGTATGTAATAAAGAAAATTCAACTACTGAAAAATCAAAGGTGGGAGAAATACAGGATCATTATAGGATCAACCCACCTTAGTATATCTGTGAAGACGTAAAAAGTGATTATTTTCAATTCTCTCCCTTGAGAAAATGACTCACACCATTTCATCTTGACATATTGTTAGTCCACACTAAAGTTAATGACAGTTAATCCAGAGCTATTATTGAGTGTATTGAGAATGAGATTGTTTCTATCAGATTTTTTCATAATATGTTCTTATACATAAATTCCAGAAGTTTTCTTTTAGATCTCCAGTTAACTGAAGTTGATTAAACCCTTTAGTGATGGATCGTGTACACCACCACACATCCAAAAATCATTCAAGCCAATTGGTCTTATCTTCTTAAAATTGAGTTCAACTTAACTTTATTTATTACACAAATTTTGTTACAAACTGACTTTCTAAGCAGAGTATACTGGGGTATATACAAACAGTATATCATTTATCATTTGATATGTGTCGCTAACATAGATAATGAAATCTTGTGATTGCATTGAGATTCTAACATGGTTTTCTGTACTAGCAAATAGTTCCTAAACAGGTCCCAAAACGTCTCACTTTGTTACATGAGAGGATACATTTAGCATGCCTGTAACTCCATTTCCCTACACATAACACAAAGCTATTCATGCCTGCAGCAAAGTTTCCTCATAAAGATCTTGGATGAATTAAGGACAGCATGTTTTTAAAACCTTCGAGTACATCAAAGAATTACATAAGGTGGGTTATAATAACTGAAGGCTGTGGCTGCAGAATTAAAACTACTAGGACCTAAATAACATCAAATTCCCAAACCAAAAGAAAGAAACAGATCATATAATGGAGTGTTCTCTTCTCACTGAACACAAGTGGGGGGCTTCCATGTTAGTTTCTCTAACATTTCATTACAAATACCTGCCAAGGCACCAGAGCATAAGCAAGATTTGCATCATTCTGTGTGCTATATAAAATGCAAAAAAAGCTATAAGCTGAAACTAAACACATGGAAGAATACAATTTATAGATTAGGATTTGGGCTGGGGAAGGTTAAATATTTTTGAAGAAGTAGAATAAGTAGCTTTGTAAATAAGATACTTACCTTCCTCTTGGCATCAGAGCCAAAGCTAAATATCAGAGACCAATAAAAACTCATCTCCAAAATGTAGTACCAGTACTGGGATGGCAGCAAGGGCTGAGAAAAATGAGAGTATTTACCACTTTAGTATCATCAGTAACTCATTGTAAGGCATTAAACTATTGTTTATATCTATTTAGTTCCACAAAATTATGATTCTTTAAGATTTCAACTTCTGAGAAGGAATCAAAGATAATATTTCAAGACATTTTATTTATGAAAGGGTAGACAAGAATTCCAAAATCAAGTTAAATGTTTTGTTTAGAAGTTAATAAAACTATGGAGTTCCTGGGTGGCTCAGTCGGTGAAGCACTCAACTCTTGATTTTGGCTCAGGTCATGATCTCACAAACCACAGGATTGGGCCCTGAGTTGGGCTCTGTGCTGACAGCTTGGAGCCTGCTTGGGATTCTCTCTCTCCTTCTCTCTCTGTCCCTCTCCCACTGACACATGTACGTACATGCTCTCGCTCTCTCTTACTCTCTCAAAGTAAATAAACATTTTTTAAAAAATAAAGAAAGTTAAAACTACAACAGGTGTGATTGCCTTATTTTAGTTGATTGAAAATTAAATTTGGAAAAAAATTAAAAAATCTTTACGTAAAAATATTGGCAAGTCTGTTTTTGCTATTTCCATAGTTTACCTTGTTTTATGTTTCCTGAGTACTATTCAAACTTTGATGTCCAAACCTTGCTACTAATGACAGGCAAGTAATCAGAACTGGCCTATTCTCAAAAAGGGCAGTAATAAAATATATACAATTATTTAAATATCCCAAAAAATGTCTTCTGAAAAAAAAAAATTTCTACATCTAGAATTTTCCTTAATAATGTTATAGTGTGTGTATCTGTGGGGGTGCTTGTTTTAGGTAAGTTGATATATTACTTGGTGTGATGGATTGTTACATTAATGCCTCCAGTGAATTTCACCTTCTGATATCCATACACTGGTATAGTCTTCACCTACATGACAATGAACTTGATCTTGAGCTTTGGTCAAGGGATCATAAGCAAATATGATGCAAGCAGAGACTTCACAAGCACCAGGTAAGAAATCTGAGCTATCCTGCTGATAATAACAAAGTAGAGAATCAAGGTGTCCACTGCCAAAAATATGAATGAGGACACCAGGGACATGAACCATCCCCTAATCAGCCTACCAACTGATTGAAATGCATGCATGAACTCATTTAACACAATGTGGAACAGATAAAAATGCTCAGTTGAGCCCAGATCAAATTGTTAACCCAAATCATGAGCAAATAAATGGTTGTTGTATCTTAAAACAATATATCGAGGATGGTTTATAACTGATATATCTGAGAAGTTCAGAGTAAGTTAGAAGTAGGAGAAAAAGACTGGAGTTTGGCCTACATAATGCCTAAGTACCTTATGGTCTAACCTTTAATTCTTTAATACTGAAGCTAGCATATTAAAAGGAATAACTTTCTGGTCAGCTAATCATCCTCAATAAGGCCATAAAAGAATGAGATAGCTTCTGCTTTCTTCTATGTCAGACAAGCACGTATGAGACTAAGTATCCTAGTGAAAATAACTTTAAAAAATCTGGGTAGAATGCATAACAATATCTGAGTGAAGGCATCAAACAGCAACCATGCATCCCTATCCTGTGAGGGTAAGACTTCAAAGAGAAAAATGCATTAAAGGTGAATCCTTTATTCCAAATGAATCCTTAATTCAAGTACCACAAACTCTAAGCAGGATAAATTAAAAAAAAAAAAACTATACCTGTGTATAAAATTAGTGAGTATTTGTCAATTTATAAGCAGTATGGAGTCCAGAGACTAAGAAGTAGAAGAAGTTAAACAGGACTTTTGGCAATCTCATAGTGCTAGGATGCAAGTTGGTACTCAGGACCAGCCAAGCAAGAAGAGAAAGATGAGCATCTATGCTTTTTCATATGCAATACCTATTATTCAATAAAAAGCTATCAAGCACAAGGAGACAAGAATAAGAAAAAAGAACAGACCCATAGGTGATGAAGACATTGGATTCATCAGACCAGGACTTTATAAGAACTTTGAAAACTTGGTTAAAATGTGGAAAATTTCAGTAGAGAACTGGGATCCATTAAAAAAAGAATTAAGTGAAAATTTGAGAACCGAAAAACACAGTAACTATAATTTAGAACTCAAAAGATATATTTAACAGCAGTTAGACACTGCTGGCAAAGGCACTAAGAAACTAGAGGACACAAAATAGAATATATCCAGATCTGTGAAGGGTCTGAGATTTTACCCTACTTGCAGGATAGTTGCCACAGTTTCATGGATAATGATTGAAGATATAAAACTCCTGGGTCAGAGATGAAGGATAGTGTGTTATTTGCAATAATAGTAGTTGTGAGAGAATCAATATTTGGGCCAGTTCTCCCATCTTAATTCATATAGGGCTAAACAAAAAGGGTCGGATGATGTCTGCACATGCAATGGGTTGTGTTACAAGAGAGGAACACTGAGTTCAGAAACCTGAATCTTTTATAATAGATGGTAACATGCCTACCCTTTGCTCCAGAAGGAGACATTTCTATTTCCCCAGAATGTCTGTTATATAAACATCATTGAAAAGTTAGTACAGAACAAAAAGCAGGCAAGTGCTTTGCTTCATTTGACATGCAGAAATGCAAGAAATCTGTGGAGGATTAACTTCCAACAGACTAAAGCTCAGAGAAGCAAGAGGATGGACAATACTGGAAAAAGCAAAAGAGACATCTGGGACTTAGTGTAAAGGCCTAGCATATTAGTACACCCATAACTGGAATTCCAGAAAGAGAAATGAGAGAAAGGAACTAAATCAATGGCTAAGAATTTTCTTTTTTTTTTTTTTTTTAAGAATGTTTCATTTATTTTTGAGAAAGAGAGAGAGAGAGAAGGAAGGGGAAGGGCAAAGAAAGGGAGACAAAGAATCCAAAACAGGCTCCATCCTGACAGCAGAGAGCCCAATGTGGGGCTCAAACTCATAAAGTTTGAGATCATGACCTAAGCCAAAGTTAGATGCTTAACTGAGCCACTCAGGTGCCCCCAAAGGCGGAGAATTTTCTTCAATCTAATGCTCTCCCAAGTGAGCTATTTCAGCTGCTGGTAAGGCTGAGAATTTTCTAAAACTGACTGAAGATATCACACCACGGATTCAGGAAGTACTATGGACATTAAAGAGGATAAATTCAAAGAAAACCACATTTACGCATATCAAAATAAAACTTGAAAGACAAAGATCAAATATAGAACTCAGAGAAAAAAAGACATTCTGTTCAAAGAAGCAAAAATGAAAACTGACAGCCAAATTCTTAAAAAAAAAAAAAAAAGATGGGATCCAGAAGGCAAAGCACTAAAGGAAAATAATTGCTAACCTAGATTTCTATACCCAGCAAAAATATCCTTTAAAAAATGCAGGCAAAGTGATAACATTTCAGAAAAGCAAACCAGAAGGACTTCTTCAGCCAGAAGGATAATCATCCCATATAGAAGCATGAAAAAGCAGGATATAAGGCATAGCATTGAGGGGGTGATTTAATTGATTTACAAAATAATAATAGCAATGGCTTGTCAGTTTTTAATTTTTGAAGGAGGAACTAGGAGGAGGATACATAGGAAGCATTCTAATGATTATTCAGTGACAGGAAAGAGATAAGAGCACTAATTTTTATTATACTCCAATAATTTAAAAATGCACATGGTGATCTCTAGGATAACTAGCAAAAGAATAAAAGATGCATAACTGAAAAGCTACTACAAAGAAAAATGTGGAATAATAATTTTTAAAGAAATCTTGACTGAGCCATAAAAAAGTAAGAAAAGAGTACAATAAAAAGAAATGTACTAGCTGGTACAAATAGAAAATAAATAGTAAGATAGTAGATTTAAACTCAAATATGTAATTGCATTAACCATAAACAGACATATGTGACAGGTACGTAAGGAATAAGGAGGAGTAAACTCTGGTAGGGAAGGAGCCAAAGAATTGCATAGACATAGACAGAGAGTAGGAAGGGAGCTCAGACTTAACTCACGGACAATTTAACTCATGGCCCAAAGCTGACATAAGGAAAGGATTGTATCACAGGGGACTTACCTGCCTGGGATAGCCATTCCACACCTCCCACAGGTCATATACCCAAGGTTTCTGGAAAAAAAAAAAAAAAAACCAAGGAACCAAGAGAGAGAAAATAAGTCTTTGGAGTAAAATGCATATTTCAGCAGAAAACATAAGCTCTTCCTGGTATCATTGATGGGGGCATACAAGCACGGTAACTGTTGCTCCTATTGAACCTGTCTCTCTCTCTCTCCCTCTGTAGGTATTTATACAGCTTCCCATCCAACATTCCTGTGATTTTCACGACTTCTAGTGAATCTGGGACCACACACCGTGCTGTCTCATGCAGGGAATTATTCAAACAAGTGAAAGCTCTAATATTACTTCTGGACCAGACTGCTCTTTCTGCAGCAATAAAAATATCTTGAGATAAATCTCTACAGGCTGGTTATCTTTTTTTTCTGTGGACTGTCCATCACTTAACAAGGTAATCATTTAATAACTATTTAAGCAGACAACACAAAGGTAATATGGTAAGGGAAGATTTCTTTCTTTTTTTTTTTTAGGAGTCAGACCCCAGTTTACTTATTTATTTATTTATTTATTATTATTATTTTTTTTACAAATAGTTTATTGTCAAATTAGTTTCCACATAACACTCAGTGCTCATCCCCACAAGTGTCCTCCTCCATGCCCATCCGGTAAGGGAAGATTTCTGATGAGTGAGTACCAAGTCTTGATAGAACAAATGGGATTTGATATGGCAAGGATGGGATCTGGCAGGTAGAGATAGAGGTGGGAAGGGCAAGACGTTTCTAGCAGAGGGGATAAAATGTGCTAAAATCCAAAAATGAGGATATACCAGGTGCATTCAGTGGACTGCTAGTAGCTCAAGGGTAGCTGGCACATGGGTTGTGTGAGTGGAAGTAGGGGGAAATTTGGTTTAAGACTTACATTTGCAAAAAAAAAAATATGTTTGCAAACTCAAAGCTTAACAAAGGCTCTGAAAGACAGACTGAGGGTTTATGACTTCTCTAGACCTTACTATGAGTTTAAAGGCATAAAAGTTGGTTATATTACTGAGAATATTATTTCCCAAGGAATTCACAGGCAAGATTTTTTAAAGACAAATTCCAGTCAAAGAATATCAAAGAGACAACTTACATCATAAAGAAATATAATTCCAGCAACAGTCATTATTAAGTAATATGTAAATCGCCAGCTGCCAAAAGAAAGAAAAAATCTTGTGAAGGTGATTGACATCTGAGGAGAAACGCACTTGGTATGACAGTTTGGAAAGAATGCATGGACAAATCTAATGTGACATCCTGACTGCCATTTGTTAGATGGCTGTAACTGTAGGCAAACTTTAATTTCTTCCCCTATAAAATGGGAATGACAAAACTTACCTCAGACTATAAAAAGAATTAGAGCTAATTTATGAAAAGTAAGCACCTGGTATGAAGTAAGCAGTAACAAATAGCTACTATTATTACTGTTAGTATCATGCCTGACACAACAGACCCAGTTCCTGACACACAGTAGACAATGGGTTAACATTAGTATTAATCTAATCGCTTATTTGTACCCTTTTTAGTCCCTAGTGAAAAGGTTTTCATGTGGCCAGATTTTTGTCTTGTTTCTGAAAAACAGATTTTGAAAGAAAATCTTTTTCTCGTGTATGAACACAGGCTTAAAAACACATATCAATCAACCGTATTGTGTGAGTTTTATTAAGACCCCAATTCAAACAAACAGACTGTAAAGAAAATTATGAGTCAATCAAGGAGATCTGATTGACATTAAAGTTTTTGTGATGTATGATACTGGTATTGCAATTTTGTTTAAAAAAATAGAATCCTTATCTCTTAGAGATACTACTGAAATATTTACAGTGAAGTCATACAATGTCTGATATTTGTGTCAAAAATAATCTTTAAGGGGCACCTGTGTGGCTCAGTCAGTGAAGCATTTGAGGTTCAGCTCAGGTCATGATCTCAAAGTCCATGGGTTTGAGCCCTGCGTCGGGTTCTGTGCTGACAGCTTGGAGCCGGGAGTTGTTTCAGATTCTATCTCCCTCTCTCTGCCCTTTCCCCACTCACACTCTGTCTATCTCTCTCTCTCTCTCAAAAATAAATAAACATTAACAAAAGTTTTTAAAAAGTAATCTTCAATAATAATCAGATGAAAGTTGTCAAAAGGAACAAACTTTCAGTTCTAAGATAAATAAATACTGGGGATGTGATATACATGATGACAATAGTTGATGCTACTGTATGGCATACTGAAAAGATGCTAAGTGAGTAGATGTGTGCCCTCATCACAAGGAAAAAAACTTTCTTTTTTTCTTTTTTGTTTTTTGTACCTAGATGAGATGACAGACATTAATTAAACTTACTGTGGTAATCATTTCAAAATATATGAAAGTCACACCATCATACTGTATGCTTTAAACTTATACAGTGATGTATGTATGTCAACAATATCTCAATAAAACTGGAAGAAAAAAATTTACTCACAAAAAACAATTTTTGCAAGGATAGAAAAGTAGGCAGGGGACATAGATGGTATAGGATTGCCTTCGGTTGGTAATAATTAAAGTCTGTGATGGGTACATAGTACACATAGTTCATTATACCAACATCTACCGATCTCTTGATTTTGCGCCAAGCACTGTGATAAGCACATGTGTGTTATCACATTTATATCTTGGTGTTTGTGGACTAGGAACTGTAATTAGCCCCTCATTATGGATAAAGGGCAGATAAGGTGGCTACCACTAAAGGACACAGAGGTTGGGAGAGATCACATAGCTCCCTCGAGGCTGTGGAGTGACCATCAGATGCAAGCGCAAAACCCAAGTGTCAACATTTTCCTGGACCAATCTTGTCAGGTTTCATTACACCATCCCAGGGATTTCAAGGTGTGTGTGTGGGGGGGGGGGGGGGGGGATTTCTGGCATTAAAATATTTTCATAACATGACCACCATGTTATTGCCATCTCCGTTCATCCCCTCACAGGCATACAGTGATTTCTGGAGGCTACGTTACGTGGGGCGTCATATTTGCTCTGTGAGCTGATACACTGTGTGCTTGTGTACTCTCATGTTCTATAAATGTCTCAGCTTTCATTTCCGATACAGTAAATATCAGCAGGCATAACACACACAAGCTAACGCTCTTTGTGGTCTTTTATAGTTTCAAACCAAGACATTTGAGACCTGCTGCCCTTTGCTAATTATAAGACAAATAATAAGGTACTGGTCAATGTTGTTTTACTTCTTTCAGATGAAAAGTTGGTAAGACTTCTTTTTTTTTTTTTCCAGGAAAGGCAGACACAAATACAAATGTAAGAGGAAAAAATCTCTTGGGGGGAAAAATCTGGAAACTGATTTGTCAGGCCCAGACAGTAAGTACAGTCAGGGGAATTAGACAGAGCAAACTTGAGCAATGGCAACAGAAGCTGGCAAGGCCAGCAACAGGACTCAGGAATAGGCCAGGCCTAGTGGAGCAGGAAGGGACTGGCCTGGGATCAGCTAAGGCAAGATGGCAGCCCACCCAGTCAGAGGAATGCTCCGGGGCTGGGGGAGCTCCCTGCCTATCTACATCAGGTACTGGAAATTACCTGGTATTTTTATAATGAACTTCCCACTGCTAGATGGAAATGCTTATTTAAAAAAGTGATCACCTAGTATGGAATTTGCTTTAAAAATAAAGGAAGTATTGTAGATTAAAATCCTGAATTCTGAGGAATAGGACTTAGGGGTCATCATTTAAAAAAATTTTTTTAATGTTTTATTTATTTCTAGGAGAGAGAGAGAGACAGCGTGAGCAGGGGAGGGTCAGAGAGAGAGGGAGTCACAGACTCTGAAACAGGCTCCAGGCTCTGAGCTGGCAGTCAGCACAGAGCCCGACGTGGGGCTTGAACCCATGAACCGCGAGATCATGACCCAAGAGAAAGTCAGACGCTTAACCTCCTAAGCCACCCAGGCGCCCCTGGGGGGGTCATCATTTTAAAATGTAACCAAGTACAATAGCCAAGATATGGAAGCAACCTAGTGACCATCAAAAGATGACTGGATACAGAAGATGTGATATATACGCATATATACGTATATACGTATATATATATGTATATGTATATGTGTATATATATATATATATATATGGACACAATGAATGGAATGTGTCCATAAACATATGGAATACACACACACACACACACACAGAGTGAAATATGTATGAAAATGAAATCTTGCCATTTGTGACAAAGTAGATGGACCTAGAAGGTTTTATGCTAAGTGAAATAAGTCAGAGAAAGACAAATACCATATGATTTCACTTAGATGTAGGATCAAAAAAACCCACAGCAAATGAACAAATAAAACAAAACAGAAACAGACTCACAGATACAGACAACAATCTGGTGGCTGCCAGAGGGGAAGGTATAGGGGAATGGGTGAAATGAAGGAAGGAGATTAAAAGGTACAAACTACCAGTTATTATGTGTATAAAACTTGGGGGTGCAATGTACAGCATAGGGAATGTAGTTAATAATACTGTAACAACTTTATATGGTGGCAGATGGTTGCGAGATTTATTGTAGTGATCACTTTGGAATGTATATAAATGTCAAATCGCCATGTTGTACAGCTGAAACTAATCTAATATTGTATGTCAACTGTAATTCAATTAAAAAAAAGAAAGTAACCAAGGAAACAATATAGTAAACTTAAGGTGTTCATCCTGATATTATAGAGGAGTTTCTGCCTGTTGGAGAGTAATTTGTAAAAGCTTGGTGTTAGGAAATAAGTTTCCTAAGATTTCCAAAATGCCTGGGGCTAAGTATTTCTTCTATGATTCCCATAGCACATCCCTAGCTGGTCCAATAAAGTGCAATTAAATACCTTGGCATTTTGCTTTAGTCTATTTATTTAGTCTATAATAGCCGTGTTCTTACTTAGAGGAAATCTGTGACATTTCTAAAGAAGAAGGTAAAGCTTAAATTTTATTTGTTGGCCCTCTTCTCCTTCCTGAATACATTGTATAATTCCCTGCTTTGTGTCTTTGCCTTACGTGAAACATGTTACTTTCAAATCCTGATTTCTTTTCTCATGGAAATCCTAACTCATTCTTCTAGGTCTGACCTCCCTTTCTCTAACATATTCAGGCCTACTGACACCATCTCCTGGGAATGCCCACAATGCATCTAAACGTGACCATGGACTACAGGGATACAGGCTTATGCACCATTGGGATGGAATGACTGGATAGATGTTGTGGTTTCCTAAGTGATAGTCTTGTCTCCCTGATTAGATGTGTAAGGCTAGTGACCAGGCCTTCCACTTTTATTTCCCTCCTAGAATCTAGAACTCCACCCAATGTGGGATAGTGCCACATATGCAGAAGACAGTCAACATAACCCTCTCCTTTGCCTGACTGATGAATAGTTGACAACTGGAAATTCCCTTCTGTGGTCTGAATTCTAAGGCTGACTTTCAGCAGGCTCATTGACAGCCAGATCCCCAAATGTTAGGCCTTGTTGACCCAAACAGTTAGTTGATATAGTGGGTTTCTGCTTGCAGAGAGGTAAGCATTAGGCGTCAAGGGGCAGGCCCATGGAGCAGAAAGAGCATCAGAAAAGGAGTCAGAAGATACGAGTGCAATAGCCCCGCCAACAGCTAGCTGATCTCAAGCAAGTTCCTTTGAGGAGATAGACCTGTAGTTTCTCATTTCTTTTTTGCCCCCCCCTCCATTTTTATTGAGATTTCATTGACATAGAGCACTGTGTAAGTTGAAAATATTTTCATTTCTTACACAGGGCTAGCTCCACCTTCCCTGATTGCTTCACACCATTGGTGGGAGGAGGATCAAACATTATTTATAAACTGTAAGGCACTGCAATGTATAAGAAACAACCAGAGACTTTCATGGGAGCATGATCCAGCTCAGGAGTAGACAATTAGTTCCTGCTTGGGGACTTTATTTAAGATAAGAATAATTTGCTAGAAAAAAATAAATGAATGACAGTATAACAGGAAGATGTAATATGAGACCAGTGTTACTTTTTAGTGTTTTGCAGAATGGTTTAAAAAGATTGTGTCATGCAAGCTGACATCAGTGGCAACAATATTAATCAATCTCTCAAGAGTTAAAAATCAAAGAGCTAGTTAGAAAACAAACCAGGTCATGCATGTTGAGCTTCCATTGGAAGCCAGTGATGAGAAATCATTGTTTTGAGACACCCTGAAGACTTGGTCTGTACCCCTAAATATCGCCAGCATCACAGCCAGATCATATTACTCAGGAATATCCGGGTAAACTGAAGGAAGCCTCAGACTCTATTTATTTGAGACTCTTACATCAGCTCTCTATTCACTTCACCATTAAAACAATATATATATATATATTTATCTGGTGAAGATCACCAGGCAATAAGAACTGTAAGAAAGAGGCACAAGGAAGGGATGCTACTGGTGTATACAATGTAGAATCAAACACAACCCAATAAATGGGCAATTGTCTGGATATAAAGAAGAGGAAAAAGGGGTGCCTACATGGCTCAGTCAGTTGAGCATCTGACTATTTTTTTAATTAATTTATTTATTTTGAGAGAGACAGAGACAGAGTGAGTGGGGGAAGAGAAGAGAGAGGGAGAAAGAATCCCAAGCAGTCTCTGCACTGTCAGGCTAGAACTCATGAGCCATGAGATCATGACCTGAGCTGAAACCAAGAGTTGGACGCTTAACCGACTGGGCCACACAGGTGCCCCAAGCATCTGACTCTTGATATCTGCTCAGGTCATAATCCCAGGGTTGTGGGATCAGGCCCCTGCATTGGGCCTTGGGCTGGTCATGGGGCCTGCTTGAAATTCTCTCTCTCTCTCTCTCTCTCTCTTTCTCTCCTCCCTGCCCCTCTCCCCCACTCATGAACTCTCTCTCTCTCTCTCAAGGAAAAAAAGAGAAAAAAGATCAAAAAAGAGCAGGAAAAAAGTAAGAGCGATGACCTAGTCTTCCTTTTTTCACATGTGTCAATTTCTGCCACCAAGGAAGTGATCCAAAGTACAATAAAATTCTATAGGAAAGAAAAAACCCCACAGAGCCCAAATGAAACAAAAAATAAGCACAATGCAGCCTCATTGTCTGCAGAGCATATTCAATGTAGCCAGCTCTGGCAAAAATTTTACTTGGTATCCCAGCCCACCCTGACCCCCCACTAAAACCAACTGGGAAACTCAGAGGAATTGGCCGTCCAGTCCACAGGCAAGGGGTGGAGGGGTTGGGGGCAGTGAGCCCAGTGAGACAGAAGAACAGACACCTTCTCATTCTCTGCTCTTATAACGTAATATAGTAATTGGAATGCGCTTGGAAACAGGTGATAAAGTCTTGTGAAGTAGGGCCAACCTCTACCCTAGAGAAAGTAAACACCAGTTTAGATGTTTGTATTATTTTTCTGGACCTCAAGGTAAGTACATAATACGTCCTATTCATTTAAGAGAGCTCATAGCTTGCCCCATTTCACAGAGAAGGAAACTGGAGCAGAGGTCAGTGGGTGATTAGCCTAAAACACCCAAATGGTCAGTGACAGAGCCGGGTTCAAACCCTTCAGTGTTCTTTCTGAAATGATCATCCTGCTCCATATAAAATCGTGACATTTCAAAAGCTTGAACTGTCCTACTTACCACGCTTCCTGGAATTTCTTCATCTTGCAAGGCCTCTCTTGATTCCGCCGACTCCTAAACCATCTTTCAACCTGGCGCTCTGTCAAGTTACACTTCTTCGCCAGTCCATAAATATCAGCCTGAAAGGCGATAAAATGAATGAATGAGTGATAAAGAGCAGTCAGATTGGCAGGCAGTCAAGAGACAGTGCAGTTGGGTTACAAGAGCTTGTGTCCTGGAGAGGAGAAGATTCTGTGTTAGATCTAGGGCCAGTGAATTTACCTCTTTTGCTTATGGAATCACGCACACACATACACAGCAAAAAAGCGGTCTGTTAGTATCCCAGCACTCTGAGTTACTAAGAACGATGAATTCTCTGTAAGCTGGCAGCAACCCATATATTCAAGCTGCAGATGTGAGCTCACTCAATCAGTTAAGTTTTATTGAGGGCTTCCCAGGTACCAGGTAGAGTAGTATAGCTTAGATGTTGATCAGATCCAACCTCCTTACTTTTCCTATGAGAGGCTGGAACACCAAGGGTTCTAGTAAGTTTTCCAAGACCTAAAATTAATAGTAAAGCAAGGACAAGAACTTAGGCTAATACACTTTGTTCTTTCACACGATTGATGGCTCCAAAAGATAATACAGGAGAAACACAAACAGGTGTTGGCCGTCACTTTCACATTTAATCAGATGTAGAGTCTATTTCAAATGAATCCAAAATAATACCAATCATTAAAAAAAAAAAAGACTGCAGAATATAGTAGTGATGATGGCTTCTCTTCTGGGAAGCAGAACTTTCTATTTAAATCTGGAAATAATATGGATGATCGATCATCCCAGAGGTTATAAACTCGAAGTTCTCCTTGGGCCAGACAAGAAACAAACATGATTGAATGAACCATGTCTGTTTCATGGTGGGATTGGAAGTTGTATTCTTTTCATGCAGGCAGGTTTTATACACTAAACCTATGGTGCTTTCAGCTAGCACAAAGAAATTAGCTCTGTAATTTTCTGAAACACCTGCTCTCTTGATCTTTCATTTTCCAACACAAGTATAAGAAATATTTCCATTTGCTCTTCACTATAAAAAATAAAATTTCATAAAACTGGCCCTCAGTTTTAGTGTCAAGGAAATAAACAGGAGCTACAGATGTGGCCAACACAGAAGCACATGCCTTCCCCCAAGAATGTGGCCATGAGCAAGCTCAGGCTGTGGCTCCCAGAGTCAAAGGGCACACCCATAACTTTTATGTGAAATCACCAGGGTTTTTTAATGTTGGCTGACTAATACCTCAAAGTAAATTTATTATTTATATTTGTATATTTATTTTGACAGAGCGAGAGAGGGAGGGAGAGAGAGAGAGAGAGAGCAGGGGAGGGGCAGAGAGAGAAAGGGAGAGAGAATCCCAAGCAGACTCTGTACTGTCAGTGCAGAGTCTTATGTGGGGCTTGAATTCACGAACCGTGAGATCATGACCTGAGCCCAAACCAAGAGTCAGATGCTTAACCGACTGAGCCACCAGGTGCCCCTAAAGTAAATTTAAAGCCAATTGTGGGGGTGTCTGCGTGGCTCAGTTGGTTAAGTATCCAACTTCAGTTCAGGTCATGATCTTGGCGTTTGTGGGTTTGAGCCCTGCGTTGGGCTCTGGGCTGATAGCTCAGAGCCTTGAGCCTGTATCTCCCTCTTTTCTCTGTTCCTCCCCCACTCATGCTCTGTCTCTCAAAAAATGGAATAAAATTTAAAAATAAAACAAAAGAAAAAAAGAAAACAATTGTGGATCATTATTGCAAGGGCCGAACAAAGCCTCCCCAATGGCAGGTCACCCAACAGTCGGTGGCCAGTCATACAATTTCTGCTATGTTGTTGTGTATAATTCACATAATTGTTCAGGCGCACGGGGTAATAGTAGACAAAATTCGTAAAGAAGCTCTCATGCTAAAGACTGGCAGAAGACTAATTGTAACTTCTACATCCCTACTAAATTGCTACCTATGATTTAATCTGCAAGAAGGAAAGCAAGACAAAACAAACACAAGATACAGCCCATATTATACTCTGGTAAACTCTAATACCTATTCTTTTTTTTTCAATGTTTTATTTATTTTTGAGAGAGAGATAGAGACAGTGTGATTGGGGGAGGGTCAGAGAGAGGGGGAGACACAGAATCCAAAGACAGTCTCCAGGCTCTGAGCTAGCCGTCAGCAGCCCGACACAAGGCCTGAACCCATGAACCAGAAGATCATGACTTGAGCTGAAGTTGAACACTTAACTGACTGAGCTACCCAGGCACCCAAATACCTATTCTTTTTATAGGCCAAGGGTTCACCTGCTGTTTTTTGTTGTTGTTTTGTCTTTGTGTTCTCAAGGAGACTGAGTTGGCAAAACATTGATGGGTGTCTACTTCTTGCAGGCTTTGTGCTAGTCATTGGAGGTCTACATGAATAACACTGATGTGGGCCTCCCTTTCACAGGGTACAGATTGTCTGGTGAGGACATTAAGAAAATAAAGCAAAAGAATTCTAGTCAAATACCATGAGTGCTAAGATAGGGGAAGATTAGGATATGATGCGACCCAACTCTGTGTAGGCAGTTCCTACAAGTTACACATATGCTGGAGCCTGAAAAATGCCATGAGAAGGAGAGGATAAAGAAGGGAGGGGCCCCAGCAGAGGGTCCAGCATGTGAGGTCATCTAGAGATGAGAGCGTGGATGAGCAGGGGACACCTGAGGAACAGAAAGAAGTCTGGCAGGAGAGACACATAGGAAGAGGAAGGGAGGGGAAATGGGGCTAGGCTTACATCAAGGGGGGGCTTTGTTGGGGATTTATCTTGGGGGTGACCCAACATTTGCACTGTTAAGTCCCCCTCTTGCCGTGCGTACAGAATGGAGGAGCAGGAACACACTGGAGATGGACACCTTGTTCACTTTGCCCTTTTCATCCAAGGCCTTTGCTCTCACGGTGAGGACCTTGTGCTGGACAACTCTGGAGGTCTGGACTCCCTACCCCACAAGCCTCATGCGCATCACTCTCCCTCACAGGAAGCAAGAACACAGTATATCCACAGCAGAATATGGCAGGGAACTGAAAGCAGAAGACCCAGTTCTGCTACTTCATCACTGGGTGGCCCGACGCACTGTCCTCTGACCCCCTGTGGAAAATGGGGTGCTAACAGCGAGTGTGCTTGCTTCCTCCATCACAGGGATGGTTACAGGCTCTGGGAGCTCCTGAGGGAAAATGTGCTATGCCAACTGTCATGGGCTACATCAGTGCCAGAGATTATGGGGGAACCCAGAAAGGAGACCATGGGCTGAAGATCATTTAAGAAAAAGCATTCCTTTACCTCTGAAATACTTTGCAAGAATAGATCCCTCGAAGCAGAGGCCATGCTTCAAAGGCTGTGGGTTGGTCCACAGTAGGACATGCACTGCTATGCTGCAGTACTATATTCTATTTGCTCGTAGACTGAGAGTTCTGGGTCTAGTTTGGCTGTTATAAAAGTTTTATATATCCAGTCATTTGAAAATATCTAGCAGGCCCCTATTTACAAGTGCCAGGCACCATTCTAGATGCTGGAGATTTGGCAGTGAGCAAAAGAAAGTCCCAGCCCTCACACTGGAATCTTCTCAGATCTGGGAACAACTCAGTTTTATTATCTCATCATTTCTACAGATATCTGCTTAATAAACTGCATCTAGAAATAGTGCTTGGACATGATTTGAAGCAATTTATTTTCTGTTTTAGAGCACAGATGAATCTGGTTGAATGCCAGTCTAGACAACACTGGCTTCGTACACTTGAATATTATTGGGATAGAATCCTCTTGCAAACAAAAGTCTATGGACGTATTTTGTTTTAAAATGTTTTTAATGTTTATTTATTCTTGAGAGAGAGGGAGAGAGACAGAGACAGAGAGAGAGACAGAATTCAAAGCAGGCTGCAGGCTCTGAGCTGTCAGCACAGAGCCCCAACGTGGGGCTCAAACTCACGAGCTGTGAGATCACGACCTGAGCCGAATTCAGCTCAGTACCTAAAGTGCATAGAAAATTGTGCAAGATGTTATGTTGGTATTTCTTTAACTGTCACATGGCTCTTTTCTCTCTACAGCAGGGAGTCTTCATAAAGATCAAACTTTCTACATAATTCTAAATTTCCTAAAAGCTGACTTGAAGGTTTTGCTATGGCAAACATAGCAAGTGATGGGTAGCATAGCATTGCTCCTTATGTGTTATATAAGGTATTACCCACATTAGTTTTTCTCAAACTGAAAGAGAGAAAAATAATAAGGACTCTCTGAAAGAGTCCTAATTTTTCATAAATACAGATAAATAATTTCCCTTTTGAGAAATGTGAAATGATCTGTGGGCCTAATTATCACCAGTGTAACAATAGTACTGAAATGAACCGACAGCAGTCACTTTGAGCAGGTGGAAATAAAGAACATGTGGAAATGGCTTGTCAGACTCTCCTCATTTTAGAAACAAACAAACAAAAAAAGAAGTCCAGGACAGAATCTGAGGGCAGAATCTGAGGGCACTGTTACAGACAGTGCTGGTTGGCTGTGAACAATTCTGGACATGATGCCTCATACTATGTGGTCAGACTTCCACACGCCTTCTTTGGGTAGGGAGCCCACCAAACCAGTGATAGAAATAATTGTCATGAAGCAACTGAATTCACCAAATAAATTCAGCACCTTTAAAAATCTATCTATCCTAGGGGTGCCTGGGTGGCTCACTTGGTTAAGCGACCAACTCTTGACTTCATCTCATGGTCCGTGGGTTCAAGCCCTGCATCAGGCTCTGTACTACAGAGCCGGCTTGGGATTCTCTGTCTGCCCCTCATCTGCTTGCTCTCTCTCTCGCAAAATAAATAAACTTAAAAAAAACTATCTATCCTAAACTGTGTTAGCATACACTCTTGACTTTTAAAATTACCAGTGATTGCTATCTGTATTCAACATAGAGGGTGTGCCACTTTTGAAACAGTTTTATTTCAACTCTCATTTTAACTACGGTGGGAAAATGAAGCTAGACTTGCCTAAACACTATCTTTTTTACAACCATTACATCAAAACCTTTTTTTTTTTTAATGTGATGCACACAAGCAGTGCACTACAACATTTCATTAAGTGCATCTTGTATTGTGAAGAGAATTCTGACTTTCCTAAAAATTCTATATCTGGGGCATGGCCAAGAGCACAGCACATTTCTCAATGTGTTGAGGCCTTGGATAAAAAAAAGCGCCCTCCTGCTCACAAAAGCCACCCCAGTGAAGACTTTCACAATGTGTATAATGTGTATCAATGGGTCATAATCATCAGAAGTGGCAGACAGGAGCTACTCTGCCTTAACAATGGTCTTTAGTGATTAGTATACTTTTGTATAAGTATGCTTTCTGCTTTGTGTGTATATTAGTATACTTGGCATATCTACCCTCCAAAATTTAATTTTGGACTTTGTACCCAAATTATGGCATTGATTATTAAACACTGTAGTTGACACACAATAGTTCAGCTATGCACATTGGTTATTTTATAATATTTATTTGTCATTTTATATTATGTTTGGAATGCATTCCAAGCATATAGCCAGTCAATAGAGGGGAAAAATCCAAATGAATAAATCATTTGATGGTCAACTGGAACAGATATTTTGTACATTTGAGGTAAACCACAGGTGACTGAAACATTAAGAAAGTGGATTTTTTAAAAAATCCCAAAACAAAGAATTTGTACTTACTTGAGATGGTTGCCTTGTGGAACATTTGAAAAAATTCTCTAAGACGGTGTTGGGTGTAATCTTCTTTCTAACTTCCTCTTTAATGCCAAATGCTTTTGCTAGAGGCATAGCAATAAACCTACAAAATATGAAAGAAAGTCAGTCCAAAATCTGAGAATGAACCCACAATGACACCAGAAAACTCAAGCTGTAACTTTAGGTTCCAAATGAAGGATCAGCCATCAGGCCATGTTGTTCTCAGGGTATCTACAACGAACCCCTGCCTGGCAAAGAAGTTCAAGGAGAGCAAATTTTGAGACCCCTTGTACAAGCAATAACTTAAAAAAATAAAATACTTGCATGGTTCTTAAATCTACTTTATGTAAACCCAATATATATATATATATATATCCCCAAAACAACAAGAAGCCTGATGTGAGGCTCAATCTCATGATCTGTGAGGTCATGACTTGAGCCACCCAGGGGCCTCTTTTCTAGTTTATTAAGGTAGAATGTTAGATTTCTGATTTGAGATCTTTCTTTCTTTTTTTTTTATTTATTTATTTCTAGGAGAGAGACAGAGAGACAGTGTGAGCAGGGGAGGGTCAGAGAGAGAGGGAGTCACAGACTGAAACAGGTTCCAGGCTCTGAGCTGGCAGTCAGCACAGAGCCCGACGCGGGGCTCGAACCCACGAACCGCGAGATCATGACCTAAGCGAAAAGTCGGACGCTTAACCTACTAAGCCACCCAGGCGCCCCAAGAGATCTTTCTTATTTTTTAATATAGGTGTTTACAGCTATAAATTTCCTTCTGATCACTTTTTGCTGCATCTCATAAGTCTTGAATTTATATTGTTTGTCATTCATCTCGAAGTATTTTCTAATTTAGCATGATTCCTCCTATAACCCATTGGTTATTTAGAGTATGCTGGTCAATTGACACATATTTCCTAATTTCCCAACTTCTTTCCATTACTGACTTCTAATTTCATTTCTTTGTGATTGGAAAACATACTTGGTATGATTTCCATTTTTTTACATTATCGACACTTGTTTTATGGCCTAACACATGGTCTATCCTAGAGAATGTTCCTTGTGCACATGAGAGGAATGTGTCTTCTATTGTTATTGGTGCTATGTTCTACAGATGTCTTTTTTTTTTTTAATATTTTTATTTATTTCTAGGAGAGAGAGAGAGACAGCGTGAGCAGGGGAGGGCCAGAGAGAGAGGGAGACACAGACTCTGAAACAGGCTCCAGGCTCTGAGCTGGCAGGCAGCACAGAGCCCAACACGGGGCTCGAACCCACAAACTGCGAGATCATGACCTAAGCGAAAGTCAGACGCTTAACCGACTAAGCCACCCAGGCACCCCTACAGATGTCTTTTAAGTGTACTTGGTTTATAGTGCTGGTCATACTTCTATTTCCTTTTTAATCTCTCTCCTAATTCTAATGCATTATTAAAAGTGAGATATAGTGGTGCCTGAGTGGCTTAGTTGGTTAAGGGTTGGACTTCTGCTCAGGTCGTGATTTCACAGTTTGTGGGTTCAAGTCCCACACTGAGCTCTCTGATGTCAGTGTGGAACCCCCTTTAGATCCTCTGTCACCCTCTCTTTCTGCCCCTCCCCCACTTCCACTCCCTGTCTCTCTCAAAACAAATAAATAAACAAAAACCTTAAAAAAGTGAGATATAGCTACAGTTATATCTACAGCTATTTGTTGAGCTGTCTATTTCTCCCTTCAATTCTGTCAGTTTTTGCTTCATGTATTTTGAAGCTTTGTTGTTAGGTGCATATATGTTTATAATTATTATGTCACTTGATAGATTTACCCTTTTATATTATAAAATTTCCTTGTCTCCAATAACAATTTAAAAGTCTATGAAAGTCTAAATTGTCTGATATTAGTATAGCCACCTCTGCTCTCTTTTAGTTACTGTTTGCATGGTGTATCTTTTTCTAGTTTTACTTTCAACCTATGTATGTCCTTGAACCTCAAGTGTGTTTCTTCTAGAAAGCATATAGCTGGATCATGTATTTCTATCCATCTCTCCTATCTATGCTTTTTAGTTGTAGTACTTAATTAAATTAAGTACTTACATTAATGCAAAATACATTTAATTACTGATAAAACAGGATTTAAGTCTGTTATTTTGTTACTTGTTTTCTATATATCTTATGTCTGTTATTTCTCTATTCTCCCATAAGCTATCTCCTTTTGTGTTAGATATTTAAGTGTACCTTTTTAATTCTCTCTCTCCCTTAAAATATTCTTCTTTTAAACAATTTTTCCTAGTGGTTAACCTAGGGATTACAATTAACACTTCATTTATAACATCATAGTTCAGACTAATACCAAAATAATTTCAGAAATCTAACAAAAGCTTCATTACTTCCCCTCTCTGTGCTGTTATTATCATATAAACCATACATTTATAAATTGTATTCTAATTAACACAGAGTTATGATTATTGTTTTATGCAGTTGTCTTTTAAATCAGATAGGAGGAAAATGTGTTATAAATAAAAACCATGTGTACACTTTCTATTTCTTTTTTTTTTTTTTAAGTTTACTTATGTTGAGGGCAAGGAGGGGCAGAGGGAGAGGAGAGAGAGAATCCCAAGCACAGTTTGCACTGTCAGCACAGAGCCCAATGAGGGGCTCAAACTCACAGAACAGTGAGATCACGACCCAAACTGAAATCAAGAATTGGACATTTAACCAATCGGGCCACCCAGGGGCCCCATTTTTATTTCTTATGTAGGTGAATTTACTGGAAGTGCTTTTTATTTCTTCATATGGACTCAAGTTACTGTCTTCTGTCCTCTAATTTCAGTCTGAAGGATTTCCTATAATATATCTTGTAGGATGGCTTTAGAAGCAACAAATTCTTCCAGTTTCTTTCATCAGAGAATGTCTTAATTTCTCTTTCATTTTGAAAGTTAGTTTTGTTCAGATGACAGGTTTTTTTTTTTTCTTTCAGTGTCTAGCTGTGGATCTCTTTAAGTTTACCCTACTTGGAATTTGTTGAGCTTCTTGGATATGTATATTAATGTTTGTTGTCAAATTTGTGGAAATTTGGGGCTATGCATTTCTTCAAAAATTTTCTATCCTATTCCTTTTCTCCCCTTCTTCTGGAACTCCCATTATGCATATGTTGTTATGCTTCCTGGTATCCCACATCTCTCTGAGGTTCTTTGTTTTCTTTCATTCTTTTATTTCCTTTCTCTTCTTAGACTGATGACTCTTCTACCTGGTCATATATGCTGTTGGACTCCTCTAGTGAGTTTTTCATGAGTTTGTACTTTTCAATTCCAAAATTTCTATTTGGTTTCTTTTATAATTTCTAATTATAATCTTTTTATTGATATTCTTGATTTGGTGAGACATTGTTCTCATTCTCTCCTTTAGTTCTCAAGCTTGGTTTTCTCTCCTCCTTTGAACATGTTTAAAATAACTGACTTACAGTTTTTGTCTAGTAAGTCCAACATCTAGGCTTTGTAAGGAAGGGACATTTTCTATTGATTACTATTTTTTTCCTGTGTATGAACCATTCTTTCTTGTTTCTTTACATGTCTTATAAGTTTTGCTGAAAATCACACATGTAAATAATATAATGTGGCAACTCTGGAAACCAAATTGTCCCTCTCCTCAGAGTTTGTTTTGCTATTTGTTATCATTGTCCATTTGTTTATTTAGTTCCTTTTTTGAACTGATCTGTGAAGTCTGTATTCTTTGTCATGTTTGGGCAGTGGAGTCTCTATTAGATTAGCTTAGGTATCATTTCATGATTAGACATAGATTTCTTTAAATGCCTGGAACCAATAAATCTCTTAGTCTTCGCCAAGGAGCTCTGTGTACATTTTGGAACACACCTTCAACACTCAGCTAGGCGGCTTCCAACTTTGCCTTAGCCTTCACTTTCTCTTTGCACAGAGCCTCAAGATCATCCAGAGGTGAGAGGTAAGGGCCTTCTCAGATCTTTCCTGGGCATGTGGATAGCCATGGGCATATGCAAAGCTCTACAACTTCAAGTGGGCTTCTGACAGAGCTTCTCAAAGCCCTCTACGGATATCTCATTTTCCATATTATTTTGTTTTATTTTATTTTATTTTAGACAGAGAGAGAGAGAGCAGGGGAGGAGCAATGGGAGAGGGAGAGAAAGAATCTTAAGTACATCCATATCCAGTGGGAGCCCTGATGCAGGGTTCAGTCTCACAACTGGGATATCTTGACCTGAGCCTAATCAAGAGTTGGATGCTTAACTGAGCCACCCAAGAACCTTTCCAATTTTTCTTTTTAAGTTTTTTGGTTAGTCTATTGTTTGTCCCAATTGTTATCTACCACCTCAGGCAGTTCCAAAGTTAAACAATTGCCTCTACTTGTTTTAGACAAGCACCCTCAAGGAAAAGATTTTTCTGAGTCAGATCCAGTAGAACAGCCTTATAAGTACTATATTCCAGGGAACCACAAGACAGGTCAGGTAAGGATAATTCTCTGGTAATGATGCTTTGAAGGAGCTCTAACTCTGTTCTGCTCCCTTCAATGGCTGCCAGGTTGCCGGTTTCCACTGAAATTATAGGTTGTTGGTTTTTCAAGGCTATCACAAAAGCGGAAAGGCAGGATAGGAATAAGGAAGTTAATATGCCAGCCACAAAGCTTGCTATTCTTTCCAAGAGCCAGCTGTTTTTCTTAAATAACAATCCTGGATTGCTGCTAGCTTTTGGTTAATTCTGAATTCTGAAAAGTTTATTTTGACAATTTTTGCTAGTTTTCTGATTGCTTTTAGGGAAGACAGAATTTTTAGAGGAACTTATTCTGAAATTTTGTTAATTTCCAGGGTATAGTGGTTTTAATTTGCATTTTCCTAATGATATTGGACACCTCTTCATGTGTTTACTTGCCATTTGTATATTTTTGGTGAATTATCTATTCAAGCCTTCTGCCATTTTAAAAATCAAGTAATTTTTTTAATTATTTACTTATAAGAGTTCTTTATATATTCTGAATTTAAGTCCCTCATTAGATATATGTTTCGCATATATTTTCTCCCAGTCTGTGGCTTGTCTTTTCATTTTATTTACATTTTTAAAAATAGTTACAAAGGTGGGGTGCCTGGGTGGCTCAATCGGTTGAGCAG